CATCTACGAAAAACAACATCAGATTTAGGCCAAGTGCGAATACCTCTTTCGCGAAGTGGCCCCAGCGGCAAAGAATTTAGAAACGGAGAGCCTTGAGTACAAGGGAATAGCTAACCGACCGCTGCTTGTTCGATGGCCTCGGCATTGTTGAATAAAGGACCTAAATAGAACTCATTGAGTTCGACATTGGCCGGTGCAAGGAAGTTCGGAATTATATATGGCCGAGTAAGGAGTTTCTGAAAGTCTTCGAAACCGAAGGAGTCACCAAACTGGGATTGTGAAGCAGCCATTAGAGACGAAATAGAGTTTTTCAGAGTTACGTAGCAAAGAAGCAAGGAGATGAACAGTAATATTGCGAGAGAGAAGCACGAAAAAATGAGGCGTGATTTAGTGGTGCAATGAAATAGCGTATTTGGGGGTTATAAAGGTTTGCAAACGTCGCACCTTTTCAGGCTATGGAAGAAAACAGTGATTGAAATTCTTGAGAATTTCGAATGTTGCTGGGAAACACAAAGTGAAGATGGCAAAAATTAATAATTGGTATTAATTCTGCCATATTGGGGGGTAATTGTTGACACACAAAAAGTTCAATCCAAGTCGAATAGCCCAAGGAATGAAGCCCAATTGGAAGATCCCCAAAAATCAAATAGCCCAAAGAACGACCCAATCAGGCAATGCAGGATAAAAGCCCAAATAGGGAAGCCCATGAACGCGGTAATACCATCGCCCAAGGTTGCAAGTCGCCCAAGATTTGAGCGAATGAATTGCCATGCAGTCGTCCAGAGCTGTGACCCTGCTCTCTTCCAAACATTCGAGTCGCCCAGCATCTTAGCAAACATAAGATGTTATGGTTACCCAAAAGTGCAGTTAATGAAGCAGTTATAGGGTAGTCCTATCACGTTCCACGATTCAAGGAATTCAATTGAAGACGGTTGAACGACAAAAAGTAATGGCAACAGTTAGAGAAAGCAGTTCCATGATAAGTTGACCACTACGAGGAAAGTGGGCAGTTATAGAGCGATCAAGTAGTTTTTAAGCGGTTGATCACGAAAAAATCATTCAAGGAGTATAAAAGGAAGAAAAGACATAGAGCAAAGGATCCCGAATCAAACACTCTCAAACAGAGAATATATAACTTTCAATTTCTTAGTTTAAATTTAAATACTTCTTTTTCGGTAACTCGTGTACTTGCGCCCCTTGAAGGTATTCTGTTTTTATTTTCCAAATGTAAAGTCATCGCCAATAAAAACACCCTTTTTGGGACTTTATCTCAAGAGGTTTGTCCCTTACACTGATCCATTTTTAATTGTTAGCGACTAACCCGCGCGAAACACCTCAAAATTTTTTCATTTCCATTGGTTATGATTAAAAAATTTCTTCATTTCTTGATTATTTTTATGTACATTCAAGTTTCCTCATGACTAATTTTTAATTTTTAAAAAATTTTGGGACTATGATTGCAATTAATTCTTTATTTTTTCTTTTTTTTTTGTTTCATTTCAATGGAGGGTAAAATCGTCAAAAGAACCTTCTGTGCAAAGAAATGTGGAAGGTAGGGGCAAAAATGTCAAAAAATGAAAGGTAGGGATGTTTTCGACAATAAACTTGAAAGGTAGGGACGTTTCGTGCCAATTACCCAGTTACAAGTTAGTTTTGAACAAAATATGTTATTTGAAAAATTTTTAGATGGTAAAACTAAATGAGAAAATGAAAAATGGTCAAAATTCATCTATTTGGTAGCTTGAGAGAAAGGGTTAAAATTA